AAAAAAAAAAAAACAAAAACAAAAAAATATCTTCTGAATAAAATTGTGTTTTTAAAAAAGATTTAAGACATTAAATCAATATATTGACTCTCTTGTTTGTTTCTTCTGAAATACACAAATCCTACAACAACACATGCCAATAATACTAAAACAACAAAGATAACAATAAGAGCTCTTTTAGAATTACTATAATTATTAGTATTTTTATTTGTTTCAATAGGATGAATATTTGATTGTTGTGGTTGTTGTAAATGTTGTGTTTGATTAATAGAATGAGATAAAGATGGAGGAGTTACAGAAGAAGGATGAGGTGTTTTATTTTTAAGTTGATGAATGAATTGTTTATGTGTTTTCTTTTGTATGACTTTCTTTTTATTTTTAAGTCTATTAATCCATTCTTGTTTTGTTGATACTGAATCTGGAGCCCAATGAGGGACTGTTCTATCTTCAATCATTTTACTTTCTATTGCTGTAATTCCAGCTGGTACAACGTCAATATAAATTTCAGCTTCACCCTTAGAATCTCTAAACTCTTCTCCAACTCTTATAACAATCTTTTTTTGTTCTTGTTCAATATTTTTCCATTCAACAATAGAATTAAAGTTACAAGGTTGATGAATAGTTTGTTGAACAAGACATTTACTATTATAATACAAATTCTCAAAAATACTAATTTTTGTATTAACTGTTGTTTTAGGATTACATGTTTTAACAACAACTTTATCTCCAATAGGAACAATAACATTATAATAAATAGCAGATGTTTGAATTGCATTTATATTACAATGATCAGAAGAATGATGACATTGTTCAAATTCTATATTTTCTTTGAATGGAATAGTAATACTTTTTGCATTTCTTATATCACTATGAAGTAATTTATCATTTGATTTCATTTTTAATGAGAATGGAATTTGTGTTCGTTGATGAGAAAGTATTTGAACCATAGTTTGTCCAATAGGTAATTGGAATGTATAAACAAAACCAAATCCAGTAATACATTTAGATTTAACAATAGAACTTATTAATTTACCACAAGTACTAAAGAATTGAAGTTCAATATTGTGTTGATGTGATGAACAAGTGTTTATAACATATTCTCCTGGATGTGATGTAATGAATCGTATCCAATATTCAAATCCATTTCCTGAATGAAATAATGTTTGTGGTTCAATAGTACCTGAAAAAGGCATAGGAATAGAACGAGCATTAGGACATGAAGAACCAGGATGTAAAGTGGTTTGAATTGTTTTTGAATTTCTATTAACTGTATTTGTTGTAATTTGTATTTGAGTTGAATATTTAGAAAGTCCATTTACTACAAGTGCAATATAATTGGTTTTTTGTGGTTGAAGTATAAATGAAAATGTGTCTTTTGTTTGTGTTAACATTGTTTTATGTAAACAAGAATTAACTGATGGACCACTTGGACAACTTGATGAAATTCTTAGAAAAATAGTTGTTGGAGGAATTGTTTGAAGTGTTCTCAATGTAACTTGGATTGGTTGTGTGACTTTATTAGTAATTCTATACCAAACAGCATGATCAGTCATTGAATCACCACATCCTGGGAATGACATTGGTTGATTTTTATTGTTTAATACATCTAGCGTTATAGTTCTAACTGAATCAATGACATCAATGTCAATTCCCTCTGATGAGTCACATAGAAATTGTTGTGAAAATGCAAAACTGAGCAATAAGAAAAACAACATCAAATAATAAAAAAGTAAATTATTAGTTCTTAATTTCTTATTTAATAAAAAAAAATAAATCAATTATGATTTACTCATTAGTTTGTATTTTATCATGTTAAGAAGTGAACGTTTCACTTTCTTCAACATTTTTTTTTTCTTTTGAATTAATGTTTTTTCAATCATTATTAACTTAAATAATACTTCATTTAACTTGTTATTTTGACTGTTATTTTAATTTTAATATACATTAAAACTCTTCATTCTTTATTTTCTTATTTTATGTTGAATATATTCATATCATTATGATAATAACTATGTTTCATTTATCTTCAATTTATTTTCAGTATCAATATTCACTTAGTAATCACTTTTTTTCTTGATAATATCCATTTATATTCAACTTATAACCAGTATTATTAAATATATTTGTATCTTTATAAATAATACTATTCCATCATATTAATTATTTCATTAACAATTATTCATAACAAATAACGAATAAAGAATAGTCAATTAGTCTTGAACGGGCAGTATCTCATCAAAGAAAAAATCATAATCAGATGATAATTGATGACTCAAAATTGATTTGATAAATGAAAAACAAAATAATACGTTAATTACTATTTTATAATATTAATTCTTCTCCTATATTCTTCTCTTTTGCATGTCTGTATAAGTCATATCCAACAATATTATCATATAATGCCATTCCAACAGACTTAAAAATGTTAGTTCTTCGTTTTAATGACTTATTTCTTTTAACGTCTATTAAATAATGAATATTTTCCTCAGAAAGTTTCTTACTTTTCAATGGAATTAAAATGTCACCACTCTCTTTTTTAGCATAATCCATTTCAATAAACATCGATGTTTCTTCATTAAACACAGCATCAGGAAGTTCACGAGAAGTGGGGAGATAAGAACCAATTGCAATAATTGTTTTATCAAGATAGAGAAGAGGTGTGTCAGGAAGAACAGGTTTAGAAGAAGTAGTTGCGGTGATAATTACTTGAGAATTAAGAACAACATCAGTAGAAGAAGAACAAACTACAAAATGAATGTGGCGGTGGATATTATGAAGAAGTAAGTCATTGGAGAGTTTGAGGATAAAAGAAGAAAGATCTATTTCAGGAAAGTTGAATAAATAAATAGTAGAAAATTTTCTTATAGAACATGCAAAGAGTAATTGGTAATAACCTTGAACACCACAACCAATTAAACCTATAGAATCTACATTTTGTGGTGTAAGAAGGTCAATAGCAAGACCACCAATACCACCAGTTCTTATTGAAGTTAAAGTGCTTCCATCTAATAAACAAAGAGGAAAGCCATTTGTGTCAAACAAAATCATTAAACCGAAAATACTAGGGATGTGATGATAAATATTGTTAGGAGTCATAGTTAATACTTTACAACCAAGGCATTGTGAAGAGAAAACAGGCATTGTAATAATAGAATGATTGTTAAACGAAGAGGTAAGTCTATTAGGAACAAAACAATTCAAAGAATTAAAAGAATACAAGGTTTGTTCAATTAATTGTATTAAATGAGGAGGGTTAAATAATGATAAAATAGTTTGTCTATTCAAGAATAAGAAAGATTTGTTCATGCATAAAGAAATCAAATAGAATTGAATTTAAGATAGAAGGTAAAGTCAAGAAAGAAAGAGAAGGAAAAATTAAAAAGAATTTAGTTTAGTGTTAATCTCTTTTGTTTATATTATCTTTGTTTTATTAAAATTAATTACTATTGTTATTAAGAATTAATTTTATTATTTACATGTTTATTTATGAGAGAATCTTTGTTTTATATCATTTATCATGTTTTTAATAACAAATTTTTAACTTCTTTAATAATGTTAATTTCATTTTCAATTCTGTATTTAATTTAACACTTTCTGTATTTATTATTATTATTATTGTTATTGTAAAAATAAAAATGAATGATGTTTGTTAAAGTAAAATAATGATAAAAATACATGACTTGTAAATAACGTGTATTAACTATTTAAACAATCA